GAAGGAGATGCTGGAAAGAAGTGCCACAGAAAAGGACCTGGAGGTCCTGGTTGATGGCAAGTTGAATATGAGTCAGCAGTGCCCTGGCAGCCAGGAGGGCCAACTCTGTCCTGGGGTCATCAAGCAAAGCATCACCAGCTGGTCGAAGGAGGGGATTGTCCTGCTCCGCTCTGCACTGACGTGGCCTCACCTTGAATATTGTGTGCAGTTTTGGGCACCACAATATAAGAAAGATATTGAGCTGTTAGAGAGTGTCCAAAGGAGGGCAAAGAAGATGGCGAAGGGCCTTGAGGGGAAGCCATATGAGGAGCACCTGAGGTCACTTGGTCTGTTCAGCTTGGAGAAGAGAAGACAGAGGGGAGACCTCACTACAGTCGACAACTTCCCCATGAGGGGAAGAGGAAGGGCAGGCACTGATCTCTTCTCTGTGATGACCAGTGACAGGACCTGAGGGAATGGCCTGAAGTTTTGTCAGGGAAGGTTTAGGTTGGATATTAGAAAGAGGTTCTTCACTCAGACATTGTTTGGGTGCTGGAACAGGTTTTCCAGGGAGGTGGTCACAGCACCAAGTCTGACGTAGTTCAAGAAGTGTTTGGACGATACTCTTGGGAACATGGTGTGACTCTTGGGGATGGCTAGGAGTTGGACTCAATGATCCTTGTGTGTCTCTTCCAACTCAGCATGTTCTGTGGTTCTGGGATTCACCCCCAAGGTCAATAGCCCATGTAATCTTCATTGTCATTGCTGTTGTTCATGTCAGGAGCTGTTGATGTACCTGGGATGACCTCCTGAGCAGTGTGACAACAGTAAAGCTGCATGTAGAAGACGATTCCATTTAGGTTTGACCACAAGCTGTGGTTGCAGTTGTTGCTGGGTTAGATGGTTGGTTGGTTGATTGGTTGGTTTCATTTCTGCTTCTATTCTTCATTGTGTTAGGATTTTTTGGGGGTTTCTCTGGGGGGGCAGAGGGTGACATTGGAAATATTCAACCTGTTCTATTGCATAACAGAATAAATTTAAAATATTTAATGTCTACACTGTCGTCAGTCAGAAGTTAAGGTACTTGTACATATGGTAATACAGTCAATATCAAAAAACCCCCTATAAAACAGTCTGGTTTTATTATTATTCCATTGTCCTGTGATCAAAATAAGACAACTTCCTTATGATACCTGTATCTCTGATTTCTGGGTGTCATTTCGTATGTGTTATCACTCTGGGATTATTCTACACTTCCTATGACTTTCCCTTCTGTCTAACTTGCATATTGCAGAAATCATCAAGAAATATCTTCTGTTAACTGAGCTCTAAACTTTTATGTCATATGTTAAAAGAAATTCATTTGAAGACCAGTTTCAACACTATTTTTAGATGAAACATAGTACTAAAATCTCTGATACTACCTCATAAATTATTTAAAAAGTTAATTTCTGCTGAAAGCTCTTTAGTAAACCATTGTTTATTAATTGCCGCTGTTCATTCTCTCTTTAATAATAAAGTAAGCACCATTAATGAATGTGTCTGTTCTGCCTTAGGTATTATATCTGCCTCTAGACCATGTCAAAAACCTTATACAAATAAACCAATAATCTTAATCAATACTCCTCCACAATGTACATTCATTAAGATTTGGCCTAGCATGTGTTTCTCTTGCTTTTGGGAATTCCAGAATAAAATTATTTCCTTCAAACAGTCAAGTAGATCTCTTTGTATGCCATATGTGTCATCTGTTTTACATGAAATAGACCAGACTTATAGCACACTGCACTAAGAAGTACATTGTATGCACCTGAGCTTCTTTGATTAACCCTATTATTTAAATTTGCTACTCCAGTATAATGTATAGAGCTTTGATTCGGTGAAGTGCAATTATTGTATTGCACTAATGGCAAAATTGTTGCCAGAATAGAGATTTTTGATCTGATTAAATTCAAGTAATAAAAAATGAAAATTCACAGAACAGATATGAATCTCAAATAATTTTTAACCAGAATTGCAGACTAACTGAAAGGTAACAATCCAATAAAATGTATGCAAAACAGCACACACTTTTTTTATTCCCTAATTTTTTTCTGATGGTTAACTAAATTATGTACTTGAAATCATAGAATAATAGAATATTAGTTTGGAAGGGAATCTCAAGAATTGTCTGGTGCAAACTCTCTTGTCGAAAGTATGGTCTAGATAGTCCAGCACCCTGCCCTGACAAATCTTAAAAGTATACAATATGGGGAATCCACCACTTTTCTGGGCGGATTATTCCAATGGCTGATTTCATTCTGAAAAATTTGACCCTTGTGTCTAAATGAAATTTCTCCAGAAGTGACTTGTACCCATTACCCATTGTCTTTTCCACGCTACTCCTTGTAAAAAGGGAATTTCCCATCTTTATAGTGACCCTTTAAATACTGTATCATGGTGATAAGGTCTAACCTAAGTCTTCTCTTCTCAAGGCTGAATAAACCCACTTCCTCCCAGTTCTTTGATTTTCTTTGTAGTCCTTCCTTGGACCCTCTTCAGCCTGTCCATATGTTTTTTGGGTAGTCAAGACTAAAACCAAACATGCTATTCCAGCTGTGGCCTGACAAGTGGTGGGTAGAGCGCATCTCTGCTGGTGATGCTTTTGTTGATGCCAGCATCCTGTTGGCTTTCTTTCTGTGCTGCAGCAGCACACTGCTCATTCATATTGAGCTTGTTGTGCACCTGGACCCTCAGGTCCCTTTCTACAGAGCTGGTCCCCAGCCATGTAGATCCCAGACTGCGCTGCATTCCCGAATTGTATTTCTCATCAGCAAGACCTTACACTTGTCTTTGTTGAACTCCGTGAAGTTCTTGTCTCACTCTTCTTGCATTCATGTCCTATGTTCTTCCACTATTCACATCTTCCTACAGGGTGGCTCTCCCTTCTGAAGTGTCCACTTCCCCACTCAGTGTTTGGTATCACCAGCAAACTTCATCAGGGTACAGTTAATTCCATCATCCAGATCACTTATCAAGATATTAAACAGCATTGGACCCCACTTATGACAGATTGCCAGTTTGAAAAGGAGGTGTTTACCACCATCCTCTGGGTGCAGCCTCTCAGCCAGTTAGTTCACCACTCACTGCACAGACCACTTGTTCAGATCGTAACGCACCAGTTTCTCCAGAAGGAGGCTGTAGGAAACTCTATCAAAAGCCTTGGAGAAATCCAGGTAAACAATGTCCACATCTTGCCCCAAATCAACCGAGCATGTTCCTTTGTCATACAAGGCAATCAGGTTTGTCAAGTACAATTTGCCCTTGGTGAATCTGTGCTGGTTTTATTTCCCAATCATGTGCTTCATCTGACTTTTGCCTGCCCCAGATGGATTCATCCCATAACTTTCCCAGGGACTAAAGTAAGACTGATGGGATCCAATTTCTTGGATCTTCCTTTAAGCCAAACAAAACAAAGATATTGATGTGTTTCTCAGATAATTAAAATCTGTCTCTCTAGTCAAGTTTCAGAAGCCATTATTTCCTGCTATACATTTGAGGCTAAGTTGGATTCCCTGCAATTAGGAAGACTCTAAAAGCATTAACACTCATAATTTTCTCGTGGTCAATTTTGTTGTTAAATACTGTGAAATATTGGTGGAAGACATGTTATATTAAAATTTAGTATGGACATAATATCTAAGAGTGTTTATTTTTATGAAGTATATCTGAGCTTTATAAATGTGTTGCATTACACTAATTACACAAAGATCTTTCTCAATACACAGTGCATTCCTGCAAAAATGACAATAGACTAAATTAAACAGGATGCCTTTGAAAAAAGGAACTTCAAGACAAAAGACTGGTGTTAGCTGCACTGATATACCCTTTGGTAAATGAACAGTAGTTCCAGGAAAAAAAGTTACTTTCAGATAGAACTGGAATTCATTTCAGGATTAAGAACAGATTTACCTTGATTTAAAGATTCTATTGTGTGAATATATATACTGGATGCCTCCTGTACCCTCTTCCCCTTTAAGAATTTTACTGAGAAACTATTTTTGCGTAACCATGGTCTTTTTTTTTATTACCTAAATCTGTTAGAGCATTACAAGATACACACAGAGATTATAGAAGGTGGTAATCACTTTGAAGGGAGAACATTTTGGAAACTTCCAGCTAGGAATTAAAATACAATATCAGTTATGTTTTTAATGTTCAATTCTTACTCCAAAAAGCCCACTATCACAGTGCATCATAATGTGAAAAAAAAAGAGTAAAAAAGCAGAAACAGAATTAAACCATTCTCACATTATTTTTATACTGAAACAGAATAAAATTCCTTAAACACCCTAAATATATCATCTTTATAACTTTATGGTTATGGAAGACAAGAGCCAGTGGCATAAAATTTCTATATGAACAAAAAGTATAAGGTATTTGACTCTTTATGTGGTATGCTAAAAAGGCACCTTTGATGTTAGACATTCGGCTGATCCGTTCACTTAGGTAAACTGTCATGCCAGTATCACTGTGCTCTTTCAGGTGTTTTTTCATAATAAATTATGGATGTGTACGGGTCAATATGAATAAATAACATGAATGTGTAAAACTACATATCGACAATTAAAGACCTAAACATATTTTTTTTCTTTTTCTCTGTAAGAGATTTTTCTTTAATTCTTTTCACAAAATTCTTTGCTTTACCAAGTAATGATTAGAGAAGAAAGGACATTTTAATTCGTTTTAAGTATACAACAGATATAAAACTTTAACCATCAAACTGAGACTAACGGAGGGTTCAATACTTGTGAATATATTCATTAGTTCTGTGAATGAAGAGAAGTTATTACTTCTTCCTTTCACTATGTAGCAAATTACTCTGGTAATGGAGGTCTGAGGAAACGCATAACAGACTTTGAAGGTAAAATATGTTGTTATTCTCAGAAGGTTTGCCTTGCATGATTTGGAATCTCTACTAGTAAACTACTTTACCACCTACATTAACGATTGCAGCATAGAAGCAAAGGTCATGCCTTAAATAGCACGATAAAAAGTTCAGACCCCTTTCCCTCCTATGCAAATGCCTTGACATTCGCTTTATATCAGATGGAATTTTCTTTTCTCTTGTTATTCAGACCAAGAAGATGAGCTCTCTTTTTCATGTAGTTCACTTTTTTTATACTGCAGTCTCCAGATATTGTTGTCAACAGTGAACAGGTAAAACTTTGCAGTTATTTTCATTATATACTTAGATTTCTTAATACTTTGTTCAAATTAATTTTGTTTACTTTTCTTTACATTTATTTCTAACAGAACTTTTTGTGAGGCTGATATATCACTAATATTTAGAAGAATCTTCCTATACTAGATCTTCCAAATAAAGTGCATTAAATATGTTCAGCTATAATAATAAAGTATGAATCATAATTTCAATGCAATATGGCTTCTTAGGCTCAGAATCAAAACTGTCCAAAAGCAACTGTACAACTAATTCCATAAAGTACATTGTTTTAAGATTTCTAAGGCAACTATCTAGATGACATAAAAGTCAACTAAAAGAAACTCTACTGGACACAAAAGGGTGAGAGGAGACAGGTGAATTGTTTGTGTTTTTCTCTACTGACTGTTATAAAGTTCACTTAAGAATTAGGATTTCTCTTCCTCTGTGGTTCATCTATTTCCATAAACAAATACTTAAAACACGCAAAATAAGTGAAGTCTATAAGCAAACATTCAGTCACAGGGCAATGTAAAATTCACTTTTCTTCTTCATGCTTCCACAAGCCCAATTAACTAAGATGTTACCTGGTAAAGATGTTTATTGCTTTGTTCTTCTTATTTTTCTTTTTTTTTCCTTTTTCCTCTTATTTTTTTCTTTTTCTTTTTGTTACTCCTTTTCTTTCTTCTTTTTTTTTTTCCTTTCCCCTGGATCTATTAATGAATTCTGTTAAACACATTCGCAATAGAAGACAAATCATATTTATGGAATATTTGTTGTGACATGCTTTTCAGTTGTTTGTCCTTTCCTGTATATATATATATCCAGGGTGTAAACTGAGACTGAGATACAACTGTAAAACAGAAAGTGTGAAGCTGAATGACACAATGGTTCTATCATGAAAAATACCAAATTTGTTTTAATGCTGTGTAGACACAGTTCAAAATAATTTCATCCTTGCAAAGTTGTTCCAACAAGAATTCTGTTGGTCTCTTGAAGTGTCGATTATGTCTGCAAACAAACATTACATTCAGCAGAGTTATCAAACATTTGACAGAACTCTAAATCTTTCTTTCTTCTCTTTGTTCTAGATGAAGCCTCCCTGCAACATAATGATATATCACAACGGCATCATGGTCTACATTAGGGTTTAAAAAAATCACCAACTGATAAATATTGCTTTTGATAGCTCAGATCATAGGCTTGATCTATGTCTTAGTCCTGCAGAGATGTAGCTATTTTACAGTTACATCTTCTTAAGCCAAACAAACTGGAAGAAAGGTGTTTTAAAAAGCATATTCTGTTATTGTGGAATTCTTTCACTAACCAAAATAAATTTCTCTTCAGCACCTCAGGACCTCAATGACTTCTTGAAACTGAGTAGTCCTAGCATAAAGTGGAGAATAAATACAAGAATGGAAGAACAAACTAATCAAAACCTTGCTCTGGAATTAACTTGAAAAAATGTATGATGATGTGACTAGATTTATGCCTCCTTAGAAGTCTTAGAAGTCAAGAAGACTTGAATAGAAATGCCTACTTAGAAATATGTAAATGAAAGGACAGACAATCAGCAGGAAGACTTATTTCTCACAGTAACAGGTTCTAAAGTACTGATTGTACAAACTCATTGCAATTAATTTATTCAATTCAGTAAGGAAGCTGCATTATGCTCCTACTCTCCATAGCTTCTATCTGTTGTCAGCCGTGGGGCAGCCACAGGCTAATTGAGATTACATTAGGGCTGAAGTAACCCATCTATAGTGAATATTTATTTCTGAAAACTTGGTTCCTAACTCATAATCTCTTTTAAGAGACTGTTGGCTGGTAGAGAAGGTCATGACTGCTGTATTTAATAGCTCTTAGTCATCTTTGGCAGTAAGAATTATGTATATAATATAACATTTCATATGTATATGAAGCCGATCCGATATACTTTTTGAAAAAAAACGTGAACAAATTAATTTTGTGAAAATATTGGACTAGTAGAACAGAGGAGTAATCTTGGAACACATCTACCACCTAGTAGACAAAATCAATACAAATCCCAGACCCCTGCAAATTCAAAATTAACTTTGAAAAAGGTAAAGAATTTGTACAGTAATGAGCCATGGGAAAATAGAAAGAATTCTTGTCTTGTAAGAGAAATTGGGAACTTACTGAGGGTTAAATAGAAAGAATTCTTGTCTTGTAAGAGAAATTGAGAACTTACTGAGGGTTCAGGACTCACAGTTAACTGCAGAATAAAGAATGCTACAGAGTCCAGAATAACAAGGAGAATTTTGTCAAGGTATGTTAATATTTCTTGTTAAGGATTATTGCTGCAAAGCTTTGTCCCAGAAGGCTGCTTTGGTATTAGAAATCTTGCCTTTGAGTTACACAGGGAAAAAAATTCATCAGAGTAAAGTATTTTGTTGTTCAGAAACTGTGGAAAGTGTCAACTGATAATGAAAATCTTTTATAATGCCTAGGATTCAGAATGATAACTGAACAGGATGTATACTTGTTCAGATGCATATGGAACAATTCCAATAAATGAAATAGATCCACTCATATAGAATAAGTATAAACTTCATTCTTGGTTAAATCTAAACCTAGGAAGATAAAACAAGAATAGATGAGCATGCATGAAACTGAATAATAGGAAGTGAAACACAGCAATCCTGAATCTGAAGAAAAAAAATACTTTATTTAAGGTGTGTTTTTTTACAATCCCACATTTGATCAACAAAGTGTTTGAATGAAGAACTTTACGGAGATGACTTATAATTCTATTCAATGTAAGCTAATTTGCTTAACATCTGAATTAATAGCTCTACGTAGTTTGTCTGTTCCTTATGTACTTTGACTGCTGCATGTGAGTTAGAATGAATGTATGCCTAGAATGGTGCATAAAATATTTGCTGGTCAAGTATTTAAAGTTAGCAATATATTTCCTCAAAGTGCAGACTCAGTCATGCTCAAAGACACATTCATATTCTAAGCTTGCTTTTTGTATGTATTGTGCTTCCTGGAATCAGTCTAAATTAGCAGACGTGAAAAAATTTCCCACTGTTTGCTATACTTTTGGGTAAAGATGCAGTGGAGGATCTGTTAGAAAGGAGCTAATGGTTTGCATTGAGAGAAGTATTCAGATTATGTTTAAAACATTTTGGGTTTCTAGTATAATTAAATTAAAATACTTACTTTATTTATCAGATCTCCCTTGAAATGTTTCATTAATTAAATCTATAGACCTCTACGCTCATGACTGCAGTGAGCATTTTCTTTCTTTCAACTCAGCATCTTTTTCTTTTATTCTTACCTTCAAGTTTTAATGAAAACAACTTAATTCTGCCACTAATTTAAGTTTCAGAATACCCTAGAATATTTTCAAATATTAGTTTTGTAAATATGACAGTAAAAATTCCTTTTATTTTTTTTTTTTTCTAGGGATGATTTAAAGCACCTACATCTCAAGAAGCAGAAGAAATGTGTTTAACTGTGGGGGCAGAGTGGGGGAAATCCTCCTATCACCATGGTAGCAAGTGGTCTTTGTCAGTGCTTGTGCTTATGTTTTGCATAAGAGAATATGGTCATTTAGACTGCAGAACTGTAGTGTCATTTTAAAAAGGCACTGGGACCAGACATAATGCACTGTTCTATGAATTCTGAAAGTGCAATTGAAAGCAGACCAGTGATGACAGCAAGGTCTTAACTTGCTTACACTGAGGGCCATGAACATCAAATTTTTCAGCCAAGGGTGAAATAGCATCCTCATAATTAACCGATCTTAGAAACTACAACATGCCAACTGCACCTAGTATCCCCAAGAAATTTTAGAATGGCAAGTTTCCCATAAAAATCATCTTTTTTTTTAAGATCACAAAAATGCACAGCACTTGAGGGAACAACGTAGACATAGTAGAATGATGAGGTGAAACTTTCAGAAACGTGATGGAGAAGTACGGCTAAGATATATCAGGTTGTAGTACCTGATGTATATAGAAGCTCAACCCAAAATTCACCACCTGTATTTCAGAAAATATTGTGTCATGAGGCCAAAGCATCAACTACAAAATAAAATTAATAAATCTTGAAAGGTAAAGACCATTTGTATGGTGCAACATTGAAGTCTAGTTATGGTCAATCTAATCTATTAATGCAGTTATTTACATGAATACAGAATCAATGACATTACTAGAACCAGAGTACAGTAAAGGCACAGGTTATAATGACACTGAATGAATTTTATGTGAAGGTAAAATACCAGAATAAAGTCTTATCTTGCAGACCACAGCTGTCACCACAAATTTTAAAAACAAAATCTGATTGTGAGTGTGGTAGATGGGTGCATAAATTTCACAGTTTTATTAGAACAAAAAATGAAGAAGTCTTTCCTCTCCTAGTCATTGCCTCATTCTGCCATACAAGAGAAGCAGTAGTAAAAATAGATCCTCCAGTTTCAGTGGTTAGATATCTTCCTCTATCTGTTTCACTCTTAATAATTCTTGAAGACTAGGTGATGACATCTGACTAAAATAGTTTCTTTTAGGTGGAATTATATCAACCTTCCATAAACAGATTTTTATTTTTTTTCTGTATCTTTTCTGGGTGTATCTTACCTGACTTAAAACAATTGCCTTTTTTCATAGCCATGTGTTTTTCAAAGCCAACAGTTACTCCATAAGCAGTTAACCAAGCAAGTCTAATTCCTATGCAACTGTTTACATGCAGTTTGCTCTTAGCCTATATAAAAAAGTCTTGTTTTTAAAAATCATCTCTTTTACTTCATATTGATTACTGATCACTCTGTTATTAATATTATATGTTATATTCCTAGGACATGGGACGAAGTGTGTGTAACCCAAGTCTTTTTAGTTTTAAGGAGAGCACAGTTGTGCCATTAATATATTTCATTAGGAAATTAGCATTTTTCTACCACCATTGATAAAAATAATATAAAAAATACATCCCCCCAAATGTTCTGATTTTTTTCCCATTATATTATCAGCACAAACTATGCTTATTTTTCTTTATATTTCTCATAGTTCTTATACTAATGCCCAGAAGAAAATGATTTGTCATGCGACAATACTGATAAATCCTATGTATTTTGTCTGTATAAAGAAACAAATATTTTATCAAAGAATAAAACCAGATTGTGTCAAAGTCTACCTTTGAGAGGTCTAATGGTATTTGATCTAATTTCTAATTTTGATCTATAGTTTTATTTCTTCTCAGTTCCTCAGGTCAGCATTAAGCCACCTCCCAACTTTTTCCCCCTCAGATAAAAATTTCTGTGTGGTTCTGAAAGTAAGTTAAGCTTCTATACTGTAACCCAGAACAGAGTGTTCAATTATTTCCGGTTTTCACCTATCTTAGTCCTCTGAGATTAGCTGTATTACAAATGTAATTGCTTTCCTGAGCTCAGGAAAACAGAAAATTGTAGATTTTTTTGGTGAAAAATCTGAGATAAAAACATGGTAGTTTTTACCTGTACACACCATGGATCCAGTCTAAAACCTAGATTTTCCAGCCTAAGCAATTTTTTAAAAAGTAGGAAAAAGGTGAGAAAAGACAGAAATTATTTTCCTGTAGGACCATTTTTCATTTGGAAAATTTGAACTGAGTGGCCTCAGTAGGAGATGCTTCCTTCAGCTATCTTTTTCTAGTAGACAAATCTACTACCAAAAAACCTCAAGCTTTTTTCTTTATGAAAAGAGCTGAGGTGTCATATATGCTGAAGATCATGTTCTGCCAGAAATCATAGTCCACATATGCAGACTGTAGTTAACTATATTCATCAGATTTAATTCATAATGTCATACATGAAGAAAAAGTGAATTAAATTCTGCAAGTAATTGAAAAAAAGGTAAAAAATGTACTGAAACAATTATGAGCATCTAAATTGCATGTTTTTTTCCAATCAAAGAATTGCTTTAGTGAAAATCCAATGAAATTTCTTTGAATGATGCAAAATGATCACTTTTTCTAAATTTTGTTTTGAGAACTGTTTATTTAAATATTTATAGTTAAGTATACCTTCCACATCCATACATTAAAAAAAAAAAACTTGTAAAAAATGCTATTTTTTTCTCCATTATATTGTTTCAGAGAAGTCCCCATGGAGTTTGCTTTCCACTTATTAGCAGTTTTTCCAATCTGAAAATAAAAGGAAAATACAAAATACAATTTCCCACTGGGAAAATACTTTCCCAATCATGAAAATTCCAAAGAGAGGAAGATCTTGAATGTATTTGAAAGCTCTTCCTTTTGAAGGGATTATTAGTCACAAAGAGTATTTTATTAATGATGAAATCTGTTCATCAACCTTACTCTACTAAGCCACTTGGGAATTCCACACCATTTTGAAAGCTACAGGCTAAAACCTGAAGCCAAAAAATGATAAAAAACACAGGACAAAAATACAGCAAATATTTGAGAAGATTATTCTCTTCCTTCTATTCCTAGTCTCTGCTTATTCTTCCCTTTTTTCTCTTTAACAAAAAGACTTTAAAATGGACTGCAACAAAATTATTTGGCTCTATGTTTCAAATCTCTTTTCACAAGTATTGTTTTCTTTTTCTTTCCTTTCTGTTTCAAAGAAATTAAACCCATTTACGGATGTATTATTAGTTTTTCTTTGCAACTTATTACACTTCACTTTCATCTGTTAGCTGTAACCCTGAGTTATTTATATCTCTTGTCATTTAAATAAGCTTTTTTATTATGTAAAAGCACTTTACAAAAATTTCTTTTTGATTGCAGAGTCATTCTGTCTTCGATCTATTTTTTTAAAAAGTGTCACCCAATGTAAACAAAAGCATTTTGAGCATTTTTTCTTGTCAGTGTCACTTTTAAATCTTCCTACCAAGCTATGCCAATATTCAACCAGCAAGTCTTTACAAGCTGGTAAGTAGCAGCCTAACCTGCCAGACAAGATCCATCCAAATCCAATTCTCTGCTTAAGGTCATGGGCATTAAGAGATCTCCAGCATGACTTGCCTTTTTGTCTCTAGAATTCATTAAATATGAGATTTTCAAGATGTGATGCAGTCTGAATTTCCCTTCCTAAACTTCCTTTACTTTGTCAAATTCTAAAATGGATCTACTTTTTATGTTGTTTTCATTGCTGCTTCCATATAAATCCAAAAGAGGTGCAATTCCCAGACATTGTTCAGGCTAACCTCCCACTTTTTTGAGCAGACTATCTCCTTGTGTTCTGAACATGGATCACAGAAATCGTAAGCAAAACAATCTTTCTCTGCACCCATCAGCCAAGTTTATTTATCTGAGCCTAATGAGGACAGAGAGTCAGCTAATGAGTCAGCTTTTGCACTGACTCCCATCATGATCTACCTGTTAAAACAGTAAAGGTTGCCCCTATCAGCCTCAAACTCTGCCTCTTAGGCCATCTCAGGTGATGAGTCTTCCAGTGTGGTTAGTATCAGAGTACTAATTTGCAGGATACCTTTTTCTATTATAGAGATGAAAAGGCTTAGGGAGACTTCCTCATTTTGAGACTTCAAACCTTCATGAAGCTTGCAGAGCTCTGTCATTCAGTGGTCTTTTTATTAATCCAAACAATGGCATTCATCTTGTGACACAGAAACCACCAATCGACCTTCTTACAGAAAGGATTTCTCCAGTGTTAGGAGATCTGCTGGCTGTACCTGTACTGATGGAAGTTGTCACAATGACTTAAAATTGATCAATGTCCATTTATCCAAGAAGTTTGCACATGCACACCTTATCTTAGCACAAACCATCTCTTTTACTTTACAGATGTTGTTTCTTAGATCATGTATGCTCTCAGTTTAAGGATTAGTTACCTGAATACTGTCCATCATCTGCACTTCTCACCAGCTGATCAGCAAACACAGCAGCAAAATAGCCCCAGCTTTTCTATCAGCCCTGTCAGCAAAAAGCAATGAGCACAGAATTAAATAAATGGCTCTTGGCTGTGGCAGTTTTTGTGACGGTTCAGTTGTAAGTGAAACATAGTAATTCCTGACCTGTGTACTCTACTTTAAAGTCTGTTTTACTGTGGTGAGAGTTCAAAGGAATTGCCAGATACGGAGAACCTTTGCTCTTCTCCTACTTTTTGTTCTGCACTTCGGTCACCACTTTTGGACTCTGTTTTGAACTATTCTCAGTGCATTGTAGCTTTCAGACACTTTCATGGCTTTTACCTTCTCTATTTCCCAAAACCATTAGGAACCAGGCATTAGGAAGAAAGTATGTGATTAGGATAGATGCTGGTGTGTCTCTTCTAATCGGTGAAGATCATAGCAAACTAAACATGAGTAACAAGAGGACTACATTGTCCCCAGTAATTGACTAGAAGAGATGTGATTTAATTCTCTTTTTCTTAACTGATACAGTGTATTGCTGCAGTTAGATTTAAACCTAGAGGCAGTCACTTTCAGCTAAATCAAAGCAGAGTGAGAACAAGTACAGATACAAGTAGTGGAGCAGTTCAACATATTAAATAAACTTAGCTAAGGTAATCTGGTGCAACTTTCATGTGTAGTCATGTCAGTAGAATTTTCTATGGTAATTTTAATTTCAAAGAATTCATTTTAAATTCTTAGTTTTGAAAGGCAGAAGTAAAAATCATGACATCCTAGGTTGGTGTTCTGATTAAAAGTAGACGATTGAGCCAAAGCTCAGTAAAGAATATAATGGGATCTGCATTCAGAGTTTACAGATTTTGTATTTTACTTTGCAGTTAGAGGATAGGAGGTGAAGGTGAAAAGATAACTGAAACAATATACAAATTAACCTGAAAGATAGAAAGCTAATGGCATCCAGAAGCCCTGGAATACTTTTCCTGTTCAGATTCATATATATCTAGGCACACAAGGGATACTATTTCTACCCAAAGTGTCATTTGATACCATCTCCAGAAATGAAGGCTTGAGAATGAGAAGTGTAGTCTTGCCAGAGGCAGATGGAGGTCAGACTGGGATTTGAGGACAAGGTTCAGTTGTCAAATTCCATGCTCCCTGCTAGGACCTTTCAACATAGATTATTGGAAATGCCAGACATAACAGCACAGCTGAACAAAGGCACTTGCCCCTTTGTAAACCTTGGTCATAGTGCAAAATAGAAGAAGGATATACAAGGGAGGAGTGTATTACTACAGGCATCACCACAGTGAAGTAAAAAGGGATTGGAAGTATCAAAGATCAAGATCATTAGGTGTTTTGTTTTTTTTTAGTTTGAGTGCAAGTTATGCTTTTAAGCTCTATCAAAAATTAGTTAATTTTTAGATATGAATATCTAATCAGAATGGACTAATCAAGAGATTTTTGCTAATAATCTGGCTGTCACCAACTGAAAATGACTAAGCAAAAAGATCACAGTATTTTTTACTTGATTCCAAGCCAAGGATAAAATACAGATGCATTTGTATATTTTATCAGACAAATATTTTTCACAAACGTTGATATGTTTTTAAAAGACAGCCCTAAACATCCCTTCCCCCACTCAAAAAAAAAAGAAAATCCAAAAAAACCCAAACAAATCAAACAATAAAAACAACTTGGTGAACTTATGGGTATTTTTAGAATGTGGAAAAAATGTAAAGACAATTATGCAATAACTTTAGATCAAGAGAGCCTATTTTAACAGGAGAGATTATGAGAGCTCAGAGGCATGAGGATTTAGCCCAGTAAAACAAAGACTGAGAGGATATATAATTGTTTTCTATAAATACATTAGTTTGGGCAAATTGCAGAGAGGGAGAAAATCTATTCAAGATAAGAACAATGTTGACAGGAGAGCAAATGCGTATTCAACAGCCATGAACACACTTGGGTTGAACTATCAGAGAAATGAGGGTTTGGAAAGTTTTCTGTAAGGAACTTTGTGGGCCAAAATGAAGCTCATTTTATATGAAGCTTGCAAAGTTTATGAAAAATATTATGATGTAAAAGCCTTCAAATGTGGAATATTGGGCTAGATGATCCCTGAAAATCAGGGATCAGTCTTTATTCCTATGTACTTTAAACATAGTAATAATTTGGGATTACTAAAAAATAAAAGTAATGTGACAATATGGCAGCTTACTGTAGACACTGAGTTTGAATAAACAGAATAAGCTAGAGGAAAAGCTTTTCTTGTCAAAGTGAATGATACAAAATGAAAAGTATGAACTATATAAAGATTTTTTTCATCTAAGCAACATTCACATTGTAAATTCTTAAATTATGTTATTTTGTAAAGTGTGTCTTATTTCTATAACAAATTTGCATCAGAAATTTGAATCCCCACTTACCTTGTGATTTTTAGCTGTTAATTTTGTGGGACACACACCCAAGTCCCATGTCATGAAAATAAGTAGCACATTAACACAAAGTGCAGATAACTGAAAAATGTAGGTGATCTTCAACATAAGACAAAACTATATATTCCAGTTCTGATTCCATATTTGAGATTAAGGTATGGTGCACCTGAATTCTGAGCATGATGGCTGAAGTTTAGTCCCTGGCAGCCTTAATTCCTATGATAAGAGTCAGGTTTTAAAATTATTATCTCCACTGTCACACATAAACTCTTCCCAGCAAATTCCTCCACAGATTACTAAAGAGTTAGCTATTATGTTTCCATCACCCCACGAAAGCCAAGCCGTTCTTCACAAAGTCTGAATCTTTCTTATATACATATCCCATGCAAAATAAGACATAGACCCAGTTCATTGTTACTTGAAACGCCACTGAACACCAGATGAACCACTGAAACTGTGCACATGATCTTAGATACTCTAGCAACAGTGAGATTATTTGAACCACGTTTTAATTCCTGCATCACATTCTCACTTGTACCATGGGCTGGTACGTAGCGTTAAAGAAGTGCATACGTACATTAATTTGTTTGACATGGCAATCATGACAGCTTTTGTAAGCCATAGGGGCAAGGCAGAGCCATTGCTGGAGAGTGCAGGTGCTGGATGCAACCAGGTCCTGGGGAAAGGAACATGTCATATCAGGTAGCACTGAAAGAGAGAGACTATACAGCTCAGCTAGAGCTTCTTACTTGATTAAGTGTCTGAATCTTGCTAGCTATTTTTTAAATATATGTATATATAAAAAAGAGAAAGGCAACAGAAAACAAGGATTATAGCACAGCATTTTCTCAAGGGCAGTAGATCTCTTCCTCACTTCAAATGAAAGCTTTATTTTTGTCTTTGTGATAGCTGCATTGGACATAAATCACATCAAAACTAGGGACCAGCCATTTTCTCTCCCAAGAGAACCATTATCCTTACTTGAAACAAATCTTGTTCTGCACATAGCATCAACCTCAACACAGTCAAGGAAGTTGTGCAACACTCTTAAATAACCTTTTCATGTAAGGTCACAAGGAGAAACTCTTAAGGTAGCCAGGGACTTTGAAATCTCTTAACTAAATTCTATGCTGTGTCTTAAAATTAGGAGTGTGAATTAAATGAATTTCAAGTGAAATGAGATTAAAGTTTACCACAATTTCAGTTTGTCTGAAGAGCTGAGCGAAAATTTCTTTGGCATATACATATCAATGTTGTTGGATGGAATCTAACAGCCAACAAAACAATAATTGGTATTGATGCTTAAAATAAAAGAAAAAATTCTCCAAACAATGTTAATATAGATAAGATAGAGAGCAGCTCTTTAATGAAGGCCTTCAGATGCACACAATACATAGGTGCACACCTACATACAGAATTCTTACACTTTTATATCTTTAATTAATTATCATATCTAGTGGGTACATCCAAACCTAAAACCCCTTTTACCCTGGTACCACCCTCAGAACTGCCCCACTGGAGCCCTTACAAGGGTCCTAGGCCTTCTATCCTGTTTTGTCTACTATACATCTTATTATTCTGGTCCAGGTGCATATCTCAACAGAATGTCGCTGCTAAAGTCTATTGCCTTGAAAAGATGGTTTAAAAGATAGTTAAACCAAAGCTCAGAAATGTGACACACAAACTATGTGAAAGTAACTGTCCAAAGTGAAAGAAAACTACACAACTACACTAACATTTAGAAAAAGCTAAAAATCTTTAGGCATCATTATAAAAAAATAAAGCCAGGCAGAGCACAGACATTTCTGACATGAGTTTATTCTATATTATCCATTTAAAAAAAAATCATAGACAGCAATTGAAACATGACATGACCAGTTTTAAAAGAAATCCTAAGCCAAAAGTCATACTAAAAAGCAGAGTGGAATCATGGAAACAGGACTATTATGCAATGATACGAAGAAATCCAGCATTGCTTTTTTTTCCTGCTGTTTTCATTCATTCAGATAATATTCAGAATGCTGCTATGATTTTTATTAAATTTCACAGAAATTTGGAAGAATATAAGACTATTTTAAGGAGGCTAAAAGTCTCATCTTTCTCATTTGCCACCACTGGTGAAATACCATGAAAGAAGTATCATACATGGAAGTATCATGGACTCATAAAATTGTTTAAGTTTGAAAAGATCTCTAAGATCATGGAGTCCAACCATCAAACTAGAACTGCCGTATTCACTACTAAACCACAAGTGCCACATCTACACATTTCTTGAACACATCCAGGGATGGTGATTCCATTTTTTCCCCCCTCCATTTATAGACATTGAAATACTCAAAGCAAGATATCTCAATATTGCATTATCTTGGTTTGGGCAGTTCATGCACAATCTTACTGCTGTTTCATTATCATTTTCTGTTGTTACTCTGTTATTCAGTTGTTTGAGAGGTGACAAGCCAATTTTTCAAGTTATGTTAAAAATTAAAGGAAGTAAAGATTGTTCTCTTCAAATGCCACTTGTGCAGTCTTGAAAAAATGATTAACTGGTGTCTTAATTTTCCTGGTGGTTTAGTCATAGTAATGGTAAGTTGTTGAAGAAATGAACTCAGTGTAAACACTCCATTCAGTTGAAAGATGCTTATTTGAGTGTTAAAAACTTTTACATCAAGGTTACTTTGAACACACTACACAGAGCACTGTTAAATTACAAATGAGGGAGTTAGATCATTACTACTGTAGGATAAAAGGGAGGAGTAAGTGTCTTCTGTATTTGGGTTCAACATCCAAACAGGATGTGAATGCTTGCCTTATTGAAAGAAAAGAATAACCCTTCTTACAGTAATCTTCAACGTGGCTTCGAAAAGATTATTTACTAATCCAAATGAGTTTTGTTTTCTGACTGACAGCTATTTAAAAAGATTAAACAAAGTGTATCTGATCACAGCTTTTCATGGTAAAACATATGGATTGTGAGACATCATGCAATTATTTACTAGAGTTAAGTACACTGGCATCGAGGAGATACAACACCTGAGCTTCATGCTGCCCCTTCCTTAATCCCTTCACTGATTTGCCTGATCAATAGCCAGCTCTTTCAAAGCTGATTTCAAAGCTCAACTCTCCTAAGTGTTTATTAATGCTATCTGACATGACTGCTGTCTTCACTACCTCCCTCCATCCTAGTCTACATGATTAGTACACTACAGTTTCCCACAGCCTGTAGTGTACCCTTGTCATTTTGGAGAGGTAAAGTATGTTGGAGCCTTCCAGGAATTACTGCAGTAAAATGATAAAGCAATATTACAAGGTTATTTTAAAAAGGCCAGTGACCTACTTTGGTGGCTTTTTTGAGAACATCTGTATGGAAAACTGATACTGTGCATCACTTATGCACAGTATCCTGACTAGGCTATAGCTTGAGTCCAGAAGCTTCCTACTGTAAATGGGGCAGCTTCACCAAGATGAATGGAGAAACCCATTGTCTATGGATGCTGAAACACACAGTGTTGACCTGAGGGAATGGCGTAAAGCTGTGTCAGAGGGGGTTCAGGTTGGATGTCAGAAAAAGGTTCTTCACCCAGAGGGTGACTGGATGCTGGAACAGCTCCCCAGGGAAGTGGTCACAGCACCAAACTGACAGAGTTCAATAAGTGTTTGGATGGTACTCTCAGGCACATGGTGTGATTCTTGGGGATAGTCCTGTGCGGGTCCAGAAGTTGGACTTGGTGATCCTCGTGGGTCCCCTCCTATTCTTTGATTCTGTGATTCTTTGTTTTTTCATATTGCACACTTCTAAGCTGATGAACATCTATTGACATCAATGGTAAAACATCAGTTAGATTCTCAGTTATATCTTCCAGGTATATTATCAAGCTCATACTCAATAAAGAGTGATAGAAATCAGTTGTTCAGAAAAGGGCAACAGGCTCATGAAGGGTCTAGAAAACTTCTTATGAGGAACAGCTGAGGGAGCTGGGTTTGTTTGTCCTAGACAAGAGGATGCTCAGCTGGGAACTTGTCCCTCTCTACAACTACCTGAAAGGAGGTTGTAGTGAGGTAGGGCCAATCTCTTCTGCTATGCCTGCAGTGAGAAGATAAGAGGAAATGGCCTTAAGCTGAGACAGGGAAATTTCAGTTTAGATATTAGAAAAAAATTTTCATCATTAGAGTGGTCAGGTATAGGAATAGGTTGCCCAGGGAGGTGGTGGAGTCACCATCCCTGGAGCTGTTCAAGAGGCATTTGGATCTGGCATTGGGTGATATGATTTAGTAGTTCAGAGGTTAAAGGGGTAATGCTGGGTGGACAGTTGGACTGGATGATCTTGTAAGTCTTTTCCAACATTGATGATCCTATGATTCTAAAATTAGTTTTACTACAACAAAAAAATAAGTACAATTCTTCTTTTGTATACAGAGGATCCAATTTACGATGCCAAATATTTATCAAAAGTACTTATAGCTTCTGCTCCCAAAGCATTTAATAATCCTCACAATATTGGCCTCAATTAACAACAACAGCGACAAACCCACTAACTAGAGTAATAGGTTGGGAATATGAGCTCCTATTTCAACAGAATAGACTATCTTTCTTCTTGTTCTCATTGTGGTCTGCATTTTCATTCCACATCACTCTAAGCTGTAACTCTGTGTCAGCATTAAAAACAGATTTCAGCAGCAGAAAGGCCAGCCTTGGTACTTTTAAAAGTGCATAAATTATTTTCCCTAAAAATATAGAAAACGGATGCTTGCTATCTGTGACCTTGTGAACCAGCTTGTCTACTTCTGAAATTTTGTAGCTGAGTTTTAAAACTTTGCAGAGTTGTGATGGAAAGGATGGTAGGTTCTTAAACTTACTTATAATGAAAGGTTTTACATGGTAATGAACCCTGGTAACAGGAGTACTTTGCAAGCTCACTGAAAGCTGAGAAAGATACCAGATTTAATTTATTGCTTAAAACTATTATATATTTGAGAGTACTGAACTTTCATTATATGCATTTCTTAATATGAATTGTCGCTAAATATGCCAGTGAGGTTTGCTTCTACTCCCTACATTCACCCACTCTATGGGAAAAATATGAAAAAAGATTTCTTGTAAAGTATTTTTTACACTTCACAGTGCAAAGGCAAGGGGAACCAAACTGAGGATATAAAAATGAGGATCTCAGCTTTGCCTGGCAAAACTAAAAGAAATAGGTAGATTGGCTCTTAAATGAAGGAGAGACACAATAAGCCAAAATTCAGGGATACTAGCATTTGCCTAGGGTGTTTTTCAATATTTTTCCTATTTTCAGCCAACACAGGAAAGTGTTTAACTGTTATCATTTAGGATGTAGAGGCAGGGCTAGTGGCCTGATGTTGATTTGAATCATCTAGTCTGAGTGGTAAGGTACTGTTTGCAATGCCTTGAAGAAGGAAACTGATACTCTGTACTTCTCAGAAGTGGGTGGTTGTGAATGTCGATCTCAAAACCAAAGATAAAGGTACTTCACATCAGGAATAGATATTGCAGGATAATTATCAAAGATTTTAGGGAAGGGGAAAATTATTGAAATACCACAAGATTGCAAACACATTTTATATATATTTATAGCTTGACCATTACAGTAGTAATGATAGCACAGTAGGGGCAGGACAGGACACTTTGAATTCCTGCATGGAATATGGTCACAGCTTTGCCTCCACATGGATGAGTGAAGGCAGCAGATGGAAGCTACAAATAACCTAGCATAGGGATAAAGTTGAAAAAATCCTTTAAGTCCTGCTTCTGAGCCTGTGCTGTTTCTGTAGACTATCATTAAGCTGAACGCAAGTCAGGGTCACAGCCTAAGTGCTGAGGTTCACTGAGCAGATCTCATGGGAAGGAGCCATTAAGGTTTGCTATCATGAATATTCAATGTTAACACTTACTTAATTTGTAAGTCACAGACTTTCTTTCAGCTGCTCTACTTAGCAGAACGTCTACAGCCTAATGTCTCTAGGTGAAGAGTGTTATTTGTTTATTAGAAAACATTCTCAGAATAGCACATTGGAGTACAGCACTTCAGGTTAAGGGCCATTCTTCAAAATTTCCAAATACATGTAATCTGCGTCTGAGGTGAGGACTCAGTGCACACCAGTGACACTTTACAGCCCCAGGACATGCAGCTATGACATACTGATGTTTCACAGATACCACAGAGGTCACATGAAGGCTCTTATTGTACATGGTGCTCCTCAAAAAGATGCCAACAATGTAAGACTGTTTCAAGCCTAAGTAACTTCTCCCTCTGAGCTTTAGGGCAGAAGCAGTTCACTGAACACTGATTGCTTAGGGCTCCACAGGAAATTGTATGTTTGAAGAACAACCCTTTTCTGCCACAGGGAATCCAATCATATCAATACAGGGAAAAAAGAAAAAAAAAAAAGGAAAAACAAAGAAAAAAAAGAAAAAAGAAGTAATTGTGCATATTTTCAGGTATTTCAATTTTTTTTCTTCTATAGTAAAAAATTCCCAGCAAATCAAGAGGCACGTGATACAAATTATACAAAATCCTTGAAAGAACCATTCCAGTATAGGAAATGCATAGTGTTTTAAAGGTACATACGTGTATCTGTATGTGTGTTCGTGTAAGTGTAAGTCAGTGGTGTATGTTGAAATTACTTGTTTCCTTATTACTCTTCTGTTGTAATATTAGCAGAGCCTTTGTGAAAGTCATGTTTTTCCTCGAGTTCAATAGCTTCCTGTTGTTGATTGAAACAGTGAAATTGTACAGCCATCCATGACATTACAATTTTGTACTAGGTTGTATTGACTATTATAACTGAAAACACGGAGCATGAAAACCCTCAGCTGTTAGTGAGCAGTGGAAGTAGGAAACTTACTCCAGAGAATAAACTTAGGCACATCAAAATCTTTTTTAATAGCATTTGAATAAGAAAATATTTTATACAAATCCAAACAACAGTGGCTATCTCAGCTCGATTTCCTTTTGCATGTTAGATCAACAGCAGATAGCAGTATGCAGCAGACAAGGTGAATTATTCATATATTCCTTTTAAAGCTGAAGCACACTTCTGCAGATAAGCCAAGCTGATTAACAATCACCACAGCATTTTTGGATGCTTCAGAGTCTGCTGAACTACTTATTATGGTTTCCTTTTCTGTGAGTGGAATATAGATAAATTCTGTTGCCTTTCAGGACATCTTAGTTAGTGATTTTTTTTATAAAGAAACATATATAGAGGGTAATTTGAAGTATTTTTTTCCTGACAACAGTTGAAGAGACAGATGCATAAAATTAGCAGGTATTTTGAAATTAGAGTATGTGCACATAGAAGAAGTTATATTTTCATTATTCCTTTTCCTTCCCTGTGTATTCACAATTGACTTACCGTTTCAGAAGGAAGAAAGTGAAATTATGGACTCAAAAGCCAGGAGATGCATGTAGAAAATGCAGGTGAGACCCTGGTGAGCAGCAAGTGAACGCACCTCACTTGCTGTGGGCCAGTGACTGGGTGAGCAACTGTGCACTTTGGGCAAGCACTGTCCTGCTATAAAAAAAAATCTATGCTGAGGAAGCATAATGTTAAGGAAGAACTGCAAATGAGAATTTCTGCAGAAGACAGTGGTAGTTATTTTGTAAGACTAAATAGTGCAAAAAAATAGGGCATTAGACTCATGACCTGGAGTCCTTACATCATTATCAGAAAGAAAAACTTTTCTTTTTTCCTTTTCTTTTTTGAAAATTGTTTTACCTTTTTTAGCAGTGGAAGAGAATATACACCAAATGATGGACATTGAAAAAATAACCTCTACTAAAAAGCCAACGTGTCTTTGCCTTGGTGATGTTACCAGAGCTAGCTCTAACTGAATAAACTTCTTTTATTTCCAGAATATGAAAGGTAAATTGCTTTTAATGCTTTTGGTTTATCAGGCTCGCATTTGAATCATGTTTGGCAATATTGTCTGATTTTTCATTATTTTTTCCATAAATACTGTATGATGCATTCCATGTATATCATATACCATATATACTAATTTGTTTTTATGTACTCCACTTTCTAGAGGGCAATAAGAATTTTATATTCCCATTAAAAAAAAATGTGCCTCAGGTCTAATAATAGCATATCTTAGAGTCAATGTTCCCAATTCTTTACTGCAGCTTGTGTGACAGCTTTATCTACTTATTAGTAATATACCTACCTGAGAAATTACTCTCAAAATGGAACATTTCATTGTGTATTTTCACCTTCAGGAAACTAATTTAGAGCTGAAGAGAGAGGTTACTAAAGCCTGAGGGAAAAATACTTAATACCATTTTGCTGCAAAAGATATGTATTTGAATTTTAACCGAGACCTTAGAAAGATCATATTGCCACCTGTTCACCCACTGCCCTTTCACTCCCTCTGCCCTGCCACCACTGACATAAAACTTTTACATTCAGAGAGTTGCAGCATTGTGCTGCTAACTACTATGGTTTTTTCAGTTTAAGGAAGTGAATTCCTCAGCTTTAAACCTCCAGATTATCAGTCTTTTCTTTCTCAAGCTATGCAGTATCAGACCTGGGCTTAACTTAGCTACTGGCTCTCACTAAACCCAGGAACTGTAGTGCCATTTCTAATTCAGAAAACCCAATAAGTCAAAACTCCAAGAGTGATTAAGTACCGACTACAGACCAAACCCACAAAGATTTGCTCAAGGTACCATTTTTTAAGAAAGGAATAAAAATGTGGTTTCAGGGGGACACTTATATGTTTCTCTCTTTTTTTTTTTTAATTATTTGTTTTCCATTTCTGGTTGGGAGTGATTCAATCAGTTTATATTATTAATCCAAAAATATCAAAAATTACTTCAGCCATTAAACCTTAAACAATACAGAGCACAGAATGGGGCTTTCAATAGCAGATTGTGACCAAAGTAATATTCTGAAACACTGACATCTCGTGGCACGCTGTAGAAATAACAAAATTCTCCAGAGAGGTGATGTCCTTTTTCAAATGAAGGTCAAGCAGAGCAGATGATGCAAAAGATTCAAAATACACAAATATTTTCAATCTCATTTAAAAAACAAAAGTGATAGATCTACTTTCTAGCTATATCATTATAAAAAACAACATTGAAGTAGCTTCACAAAATACTAGGGTAAATGCTACATTAAACAGCACTAAGATAAAATAGTTAAGAGCATTTTGCAATTACTTAGGAATCTTTTTTCCATTAACACTGTTAATAAATTGGACAGCCTTTTAGGTAAGCACAATGGAATGTGTAATGCCAATAAAGCACTTTAGTAACAGGTCACATAATTAAGGAGCAAATAATCACCCTGGAAACAAAGATGATGATTTTGAAGTGGTTTCATTATTGGGGTACATCAGAAGGTGATTGTCATTAAACTAAAACCATAGTGTATTCTTGAACTAGAGGAAAATGAGTGCCATACAGCAAGAGAGCTGGTGTTCCATTCCCACCTCTTCTGAATCAGCCCTAGAGAAAAGTCCACCATGTCTGGCTACTCCAGAGAGTCAAGCAAATGACCTCTTCTAATAATAGTAGCAAAGTCTCCTTTTTTTGTAATTGGTACCGCTGAAATACCTCTTAAAAATATCTGTTCTCAATTCTCAAAATATAGTAGAACTGACATTGATCAAAAAAACTCCCAAACAAATTACTTCCAGTCACAATCAGCTTTTTTTGATTTTACAACCTGACTACTTGTACTCGCATTAGCTGCACTTAATTATATCTCTAGTGGTGGCCTTTAGAAAGTGCTGTTAAAAGATCACAAAGCCTTCATTCTAGACAATTCAAACATCTTATCACCATTTAATTTTAATGTTGTTCGTACGAATTTCCTCTCTGTTCTCTGTTTCACTGACCTTGTCTTTGCCAACAGCTGCCTAGGGTAGCATTTCCTGCTTGGCTAAGTTCATTCTAACTGTGATGTAACCTTGTCAACTGCAAGAAATTAGTGTAATTTAATACCCTAACCTCAATGTTAGCAGAAGAACATAAAAGCAGGCTGTAGGGCAGAACCAGAACAGACAGGTTTTATTAGCTTTATCAGTTCTAGTCCAAATTCTAAACTTGGTTCTGTAATATTAGTTTTGACAATAGCAAACAACCTTTTTTTTTCTCAATTCTGGAATTTTCTCTGGCATTTGATAGAGAAATGAAAGATCACCAGTATTAATGACATGACCAACGGGAGTGAGCAGCTAAGGCAAAAGGTTTGAAGTAAAACTGACTAGGATCCTTCAAATCCTCATGAGAGGAAGGGAATGCTTGAGGTGGAACCAGTGCTACCAACAGCGAAGAAACCTAATTTTCTCCAGCACTTCACATTATAAACTAGAAGACCCTTGAATTGTCACTGTTACCAGAAAATAGAGAAACTATGGTTATTGATGTCACTTTGTTTAATCTATCTATGGTGGTCAGGGAGTCTGGGAATTCTGCTATCACAGAAGAACTTCCTCTCTATGATTCTTGACCTTGGAAGTTGTCTGCTGACTGTCCGGGTTTCCAAAGACTGCCCTAGTGAACTACCACCCTAGAAAAGATGTGTACAGGAACAATGTTTGCAAACTCTCTTAATACAGTAGAACATGAAATATAGTTTTGCTTAGCATAGACACAACTGGGAAAATTATAGCAGCTGAAAGTCAAGCAGGAGTATATCTTAATATGCTAGAATTCTGGAAAAAAATAAAAATACTTTTAAAAAATACTTATAAATTCAATGAATGAGAACAGAAATGGGAGATAATCACAAACTGGATCACATGAAGAATGAAAGAGATTAGGGAAAATAAATGGCTTTTTTTTAGTACCTACACAGTACAAGTGTTGAAAGAGGGTATATATTTGTTGCTTTGTTGGAAATTCTTGATACCTGCAAATTTTATCTTTGTGTCCTGCAAATCTTCCAGATGTCTTGACTGGCAAAGTGCGTGTTGTTTAGGGTACTTTTTAATTTAGATTTCTATTATGCAGAATATGCTTCTACTTCTGTCATTCACAGTAGATTGTCAACTGTTCAAGCTGGGAAAAAGAGCAGTGGTGTAATGAAAAACTGAAAATAAATTCACTTGTCTCAGATTTTTCCGTCTACTTCTTTTCAGTGTATCTATACATAGAGAAAGAATATGTACATACTGTTGAGAAAGAAGCATACTGATTTGTGGCAGTGAATGGTATGCTGATATCACTGCTGGAATAAACATACCAAGGGAAGAAAAATGCATTTGCATTTCACACTAGCAAGCTTGGCATTACAATTTTCCTCTTTTCACAAAGTGGTAATTTTAACCCTATATTTTTTCTGTGCTAAAAGCTGAAAATATGAGTTAAATGTTGCTGTTTGGAAGACAAAATAATAACTAAAGAAGGCAATAAAAATTGATGTCAAACAAAACCCAGGTACCAGATGACTTTTTTACTCTGAGAAAACAATGAGAAAAATCCCCATAAATCTAAGTGAAGGTATTTAGTTCTTTCTATAGTTGATCCTTCTGAACAATCCTAATCACTAAAGCAACAATCTACAAGGAAGCTCTCTCGCTTACTTCCAGGTGAACTCAGAATGTGATTGACTCAACAGTTTTTTATGTGAATTTTCATATGAGGTGCACTGGAAAGGCCCATCTTCTCATCCCAGAAGCCCAGTGTGATTGGCTTAGTTAGACATATACATACACAATGTAGCCTATTTGAAGTTGCTCCCAACTGTACTGATATCAATAGAAACTTACATGCATAAATGCTACTGTGATACAGCCCTCATAAGATTCAAAGATTCAGAAGGAAGGTCTGATTGTACAAATTGCTGACACTCAGGTCTTCAGGGCATATATGCACTTATCTCCTGCTGAAGGGAATTAAACAGAAGGCATCAAAGGGTGATGCTGAAACTCCTGCAGGCTTCATTAACATAAATGCTGAGGTTCATTTCAAGTCAGTCTTAGCTTTTGTCTTCAGCAAGTCCTTTTCTCAGAACTTTAACTTCTAAATGAGTTTTATAACTCTTTCGTTCTCCATAGTTAAACATGAAATATCTTCATAAATAATTTTCATCCTTATTTGTCTTCAGGCAGGAGACAATCACTTAGTACACAATTTTTACGACATGAAATTCAGGTTCTATATTTTTGTTAAAGCAATTTACTATTAATAATATCCTAAAAAAAGTAAAGCTTACTTCCAATATAACGCATTAAAAAATTACTACAAACTGGAGAAAGTATAATTAAATACCACTATTAAAATTGAAAACAGGTAGATGGCATGGTTTTTAGTAAGATCTGAGCTACTTGTTTCTACATTTACTTTCCTAAGACAGTAGCAGGAGTGTGTATGTGTATGTTATATCCTCTCCTCAGCTTCATTTTGGCAGTACTTGGAAGTTAATTACTAATCTTGTTCTCTCTCTTCTTTCTCCTCCTCACCACAAATTCCAATCATAAGACACTTATGGTGCTATTACAGGCTGGTAGAAAGCTCACACCCTTCCAGCTGCGCACAACTGCCTTGGCTTGGCTTGGCTTGTCTTTTCTAGCAGGGCATCCCTGGAAAGAAAGAATAATCTCCTTAATGAATTCGGACTTTAAGCAGGAGTTGTGTGAAGATTTCTTTTAGAGTCTTTGTGAGACTTTTCATTCAAATTATTTATATGGATACGTATTTATAAGTCTTTAATTATGGATTTGATGAAAATATTCCTTACTAGAGGAGTTGTTGAATATCAGGAAGATGCTTAATTTTGAAGTTTTGTTTAAAATGCAGAGGATTGGGTAAGTGCATAATTAAGGAGCTATCATTCCCAACACAGTAGGGAAAAAATGGCTCTGAATTCCATTAAGTAATCAAGGATTTGTTAAATATGTGTCATATAGTACTTGG